TGTTCCTAAACAGTTGGGGTTGGCAACCCCGACTGTTTAGGACATGCAAATTTCGGGTTTAAGGACATTAATTGGGGTTTAACACCCTCCTAAACAGTCGGGGTTGCCAACCTCGACTGTTTAGGAACGTCATTAAGCCCACGTGGCAAAAACCGGGTCGATTTTGGTAAATAAAAAAAATAGGTCGATTTTGAAAATTAAATTTTTTTTGGGGGCTGTTTTGAAAATTTGTTCGTTTTCCTTTATGTCTATTTGCAGTAATGGTCAATATTCAAGGTGGTCATTTGAAGTTCATTATGTTAAGTTTTCTACATGTATCTTATTTTAGGGGGGTAAGGCAATCTGTTAATTTGTGTTATTTTATGATCAACCAGTTTGATATAGTTTGGTTTAGGGCTTTTCTGCAGTATTAGAGCATCTCCAACCCTACTCTCCAAATTGAAATATTCCTAGAATATTTCAATTTGGAGAGTGGAATTTGGAGATTTGCTCCAACCCACACTCTCTAAATATTTTTTTATTTTTATTTTATCAAAAAAAGTCATATAAATTAATAATGTTGGATATGATTTACATTAATAATTTTATTTTTAATAATTTATTTGGGAAAAAATAATAACATTAGAAAGGTGTCGACGGGAGCTTTAAAATGAACCCAATATTAATAATCCAATACAACATATTAAAAAATAAAATCTGAAATAATAGTGACAAAGTATACATCGATAGAACAAGGAAGCAAACATAAACCTCTAGTACAACATATCATAGGTCGCAAACATAAAATATGATAACAATGAAGGAATGTAATTTAAATATTATAATTTATGCTTGTATTTTCTTATGGGGCAAGTTAAATAGATCCCCATATTTAAGTTTTCATGTCTTAAACTTATTTATTTAATTTAAAAAATAATAATTTTATAATAATATTAAAATAAATTAATCTTAGTTTCATTTTGAAGATCTCGATGAGACCTTTCCAAATATATAATTATTTTGAAAATTAGATTAATAATTTTTTAACTATATTTATTTAAAATTAAACATCTAATTTAAATTACCAAGAACGATGGTAAAGTGGTAATTTTTAAGAAATTACATAGTTGAAAGTGGTAAAGTTGTAAATAATAAAAGTTTGAATAGTGATTTGGAGAGCCTCTCCAAATTCTTGCTTCACTCTCCAAATTTGGAGTGAACTATCTCCAAATTTGGAGAGTGATTGGAGAGGATTCGCTCTCCAAATTTGGAGGATGTAGATTTTGGAGAGTGATTGGAGATGCTCTTAATATGGTTTAAGACTCGGAGAACATCTTTAAGGCTCAGCATTTTGACATTTCAAATATGTTCTGAATATAGTACAGATTGAAATTTGGTCCAATTAGGATGGACTTATAAACATCTGAGGAAGTGTTGTGAGCTTCTTTTTTTCCAATCATTCATATATCATATAAATGTTTAGAAGTACTTTTCTTCAATCAAACGCAGGTCTTACAGGAATAAGTTAGTTTCAATTCTAACTTTATGGATTTGCCAAATTGGAGTAATTCAACTTTGCATAAGAACTCTCCCTTATTGCCAATTTTATAGCAAAGTATTGTATCTGCATCTTCTTCTTCCCTGCTGTAAAAATAATTTATCAGGAAATATATTTTACCACTGTTAACTGCTTGGACTACTTTTATTTCCCAGGTGAACCTGTTGTTGCAGGCTGCTCATAAATATCAATGCGCTGTGAGTAAGAAGAGAACACCTGGAGTCCCACTCGCGTTGCAAGCTAGTTATAACGAGTGAGTGCAGTTAACATTTCAAATAAAAACATATACTCTATATCTTCAAGTTGTCGAAGCCGACTGATGGTTATATCAGCAATCCTAAATCTCAGTCATCTGCTGAAACTGCTCTCGTATTCTATTTCGTCATTATTCCCCAGTTATTATTCTGGCAGAGCAAGTTTGCTCTCCTTAACATTTTGGTAGTGCGTAAACTATGATATGCTTGTTGCATGCCTCAAATAATAAGGGCACGGCTTTGTTCCTAGTTGCTATTGCTATAGTTTAATATCGGGCTAATTTCTTTTACGACTGACGGAAGAGGGATGTACTAATTGGAACACTCATAATTCTAAAATTTCCTTAATTTGTGTATGCTCATAATTCTAAAGTTTCTAATAACTAGGCACTGGGCAATTGCACTTATTCTTTATCAACATATTTATGTGTATTCTATGGTGATGGGCTACTCTACTAGTTTCATTGTTTGCGGGATTGGGTTGTCAAGCTAGAGCTCCATTATCTACTGTCAGCTACTGGGACTGTTCTCATTTGTTGCTCTTGTACTCTGCCCTTTTCCGGATCAGAAGCTCTTTTTTTTTTATCTCTTAGTTACATTATCGATCGGTTAACTCTTTTTTCAATTTGTTTCAAACATTCGTCTGTTTTTTTTAATCATGTTGTGTACTTACATTAGGTTTGAGTTACATGCCTCAACGTTATTTTCGACCTTTTCCTTTAGGGCCATGTCAGCAGTATGTCAGTTTCTGAGTAACCTCGAGTTACATCCATTAGATGACCTTGGGTTCTCCAAAAGTTACATGCGATGTTTGCAAGTAAGGATTTGATATTGCTTTCTACCGAAAATTTGAAATTGGGTTTTGAGGATTTATATTTGAGAGGCTTTTAATCATGACAATTCAATTTTATATTTTTACAGACATCACAGGTCGTAAATAGTATGAAAGACTTGATTGATTTTAGCCTGGAGAACAAGATTGGACCTATAGGTATGCAAGTATTTGACTATCATTTTCCTCTTTCATCAAACCAATATTGTCTCTGCAAGTTTTTACCTTTTTATGATACATAGCGTTAGTCACTTGTATACAGAGTAATTGCTCTTGATTCGGAAGCGGGCATGTCTCAACTAAAGAATGAGTCATTTGTTCAAAGATATTTGGTTTTGCATGATGTCATTTCTATATATTCCCTAATTAATTTGCATGATGTTGGGTTTAATTCTCCCTTTCTCGTCAAAATTTCTAGTCTAGAAATCAGGATTTGTTTAATTATTAATTGAAGATAAAAATCAGTAATATTCTTCTTGAACACCCCCCCAAGTAAGTACGATAAAGAAGCTCTACTCTCTGCTATATATTCTCAGTTTCTTGATCACCATTACTAACTGAAGACTGGAACAATTTGCAGAGATCCTGAAGTTCTACTCACAGCAGGCTGCAGCTAATCTCCAAGCATCAAAGGATGCAAGAAATGCAGTACATGGTGAGTCATATAAGCTTTTTTACTTCATCTGATCAAATCATTCTAAATAACATGATGGGAATGGTTACAGGTCTCAGCAACCACGCAACGGATAACCTCCCAGCTGCCCACATCGATAATAACACTCCATATCCTGCAATTAAACCAAACAATTACCTATATTTTCACAGAACCTCTCCAACTCATGATTCACTTCTGCCGCAACCCGATCCATTCCCTACAAAATCAATATTCTTCAATGGTTCATCAACTTGTCATCAGACGAATAACCACGAGGCTTCTCAAGTGAATCAGAACTTGCAGCGGCATGTCATAGAGCAACTCCTGCAGGAATCGAAGAATAACAAAGGAGAATCTCAACGATCTCTTTCTGTTGAACCTAGTTCTAACCACAACAATTCCTCCAGCAGTACTGGCAGCTTTAATACGGAGAAGCCTGGGATGCAACAGGACTTGCAACTTACTGAATTGGATCAGGACATACTGCAACTAATCGCCGAAGGTAACATTCAATTGTGAGGAATTGTAAAGATTTCAAGATATAGGGTGTCAACTGTAAAGAATTATGGACATACAAATTTGTACATAGTAGTTTTCAGATAGTCTTTAGGTTTGGAATTTGTTAGTTATGTTGCCATCCTTAGTACTAAGATGTCAGATGTTTGGGATTGAGTGTACAGGTTTCATTTATGTCCTGATTGATACTTAATAAATTAGAGATCCTGTTTGATTGATTATTTTTTAGAACAATCTCTTACCTACATACACTAATTGATTGTTTGGTCAGTGAAAATCTGGGATTGAGTTGCACTTGCAATTTATAAAAGGATTATTAACATCCTGGTACACTATGGTATGTTCTAGTTACATATGTGACACTGAGATTTATGTATTTACATGGGTAACTTTGAGAATATTGACTGAGGCTATATGCTTAATCCTGAGAAACTTTAAGATTACTTTCATTAGGGTTACTCGTGTATTCCCACTTAGTAATCTTAGGATTATACGTGTAGATACACAGACCATGGGTCATCCGTATAATTAAATCATACCGTAGAATATCAAAATGTAAATAATCTTTTATAAAAAGTAGTTACCGTACAGTACAAGCGGTTTGTTTGCAATTGAGGTTGTAGTCGTATCAAATATTAAATAACTTTTGTAAGTTGTAGTCATTTGTTTCATTGCCATTGAGTTAGTAGTTGTGGTGAAAATAACTATCTTATGTAAATTGCGGTTTGAGTTATAGTCAAACGATGCTGGAGTTCTGTAGTCTCTTTCAAGTGATTAATCGTCGGGACAAAGCAACAAGTATGCTGGAAAATTTCGTGTGTTGTTTTGCTAAGCACAGGTTTGTTCGCTAAATTTCATGAGCAGTGTTCTAAGTGACGAGATCATTTTATTTTTCTGTTCTATGAAAATTGGGAAAGTAATTCACTTGTATCAGAGGGGAAATAGTAGAGGAAGAGCTGAGATTTCAATGGCAAATTATGCTCAAGGCTTCTCTTGAACAGCTTGTCATCATCCAATCCCATAAAGATTAATATTCATTACTATGTTCTCTGTTACTATTATTATTATTATTATTATTTTGTCATAGTTGTAGTGGTCCACCATTGTGAGCTGTTGCACAACACAAGTAAGTCAAGAAATTGTAAGGCCTATGAATGAATCACGCATCTTGAATAGACTCTAGCGTAATAATTAGCAACAAATATAAGCCAAAAACCGAAAAAAGTTGAGGCCAGATAACCTGAATTTATAAGAGAGTAACCTTGTATAGTATAAACCATGTACAGAGTTGTTAAACCAGCTATTCTCTTTGAGAAGCAATGCACAACTTCATTGCTATGACCAACATGGTTTCTTGTTGGTAATAAAGTGATCATGCATCTTCCGTTAGTGTAGGGATGTCAAATGGGTGGTTTTGGTTGGGTGTTGGTTGGGTCATAAATGAGTGGGCACATTTATGACCACTTGATCATTTATGACTCATTTAGCATTTGCTAAATGGGTCACTTTTTAACCACCCATTTACTAAATGGATGGTTCATGGGTGACCCAATAACCCATTTAGTTATGATTATGATGCTTCTATACATATGTAAGTTTCAGGGATCTACTTGCAAACTTTGAGGGGGTTTTCTGCAAACTTTGAGGGGGTTTTCTGTAAATTTTTAGGGGGGTTTTCTGTAAACTTTCAGGGGGTTTCCTGCAAACTTTCAGGGGGGTTTCTGTAAACTTTTAGGGGGTTTTTTACAAACTTTCAGTGGGGTTTCTGTAAACTTTCAGGGGGTTTTCTGTAAACTTTCAGGGGGGGTTTCTGTAAACTTTCAGGGGGTTTTTATAAACTTTCAGGGGGTTTTCTGCAAACTTTCAGGGGGGTTTCTATAAACTTCCAGTGGGTTTTATGTAAACATTTCTTTCTTAGTTGAATCGACTACTTGGAAAAATCTCTTTTGTGGGGCTTTGCCAACTACAGATAAACATTATTAAGTTATCACATATGATTAACTTTTTAGCATTTAGCCTGTGGGTACAGATTGGACTATGATTTCATAATGTCATATACTATGAGATTATGCAAGCAAGTTCTCAAATTACTACATCAATCCCGTATGTTTGCATATCGACAACATATGGACAATAACTACCAAAAGGAATTCCTGGGATCACCTTTTGTATAATTTTATTACACACAACAGTTGCTTATCATTAATAGAATTAGTGGAAGTAAAGCAGAATACACGAAATGTAATTTAGTGAACCTGTGAAGGTGAATAAGCGTATAGTACAAATGGACGGTCAAGAAATAACTGAGTAATCATTTTCGTTATCTAGGTTCAATCATTCGTCGTCATGATGGTGAGATTAAGGATAACGCCACTCATTGAATTAAATCAGGATGGATTAATTAGTGAAAGACTGTAATGTCTAAATACCTCTAAATACCTCTAAAAATTAATAAATTGATTACTTCTTTTATTCACTAATGGGAGTTGAAAGACAAAGATATAATATTTTACTAAAACATTATATCATATAGTGATTAACCAAAACCTTAACCAAATTCTCGTGTATTCTCCAATATCCACACATAGCAAAAGTACCTAACCTTAATATTGTGAGCGCCTACTTTTTATATTTATATATCCTTGAGGGTGTTTTTTGCAATTTTTAAAGGTTTGAGGGTGTTATTTCCAAATTTGATATTTATAGGGGACTACCGAAATTTTTTAGATTTCATGTGTCATTTGCAAGTTTAGAAAATTCTAAGATTGTTTTGTAGTTTTGAACTCTTGAGGGTGCTTTTTGCAATTTTTAAACTTTAAGGGTTTTTTTGTAAATTATAAATTTACAGGGGGCTGCTAGTAATTTTTTGATTTCATGTGTCATTTGTAGGTTTTGAAATTTCAGGATGGTTTTGTAATTCTAAACTATGGAGGGTGTTTTTGTAAAAATTTAAAACTTTGTGAGTGTTAATTACAAATTTTAAATTTATAGGGGACTATTGATATTTTTTAGATTTCATGTGTCATTTGCAAATTTAGAAAACTCTGGGTGTTAGCCACCTATAACTTTTTAAGTAGAACTGGGATAATTGGTAAAGTGGGATAATATTTTGACACTGGGATAATTTAGTGGAATAATGATGGGTAATTCTTAAAGTGGGATAATTTGGCAGGATAATTTAGTGGGATAATGATGGATAATATTATGAAGTTGCATAATTTGGTAGGATAATTTGATGGGGTAATGGTGGGTATAAATTACTATTGTAAATAATTGTATATTAAAAATAATATAATATTGATAAGTAAATTCTAATAATAACTATAAAATATAATGCAATAAAGCATCACTATTTATCTCAAATAATAAAATAATTTATAAATAAATAAAAATCTAAATCCCTAGAGTGACTCGACTTCCATCATCCCACATGGCTTCTATTATCTCACATGGCATTTGCCATAGAATTTCTCCAAGCTCCTATAGCTGCTCGTTGAGTCTATAACTCGTCTTCTTTATCGGAGTCATTGTCTACATCAGGAACATTTCGTGGAGCTTCTAGCGGAGGATCATAAATGTCGAAGTTCAAATCTCATAACATCATAAAGAAAGAAAAATAAGCATTTTTCAGTCATTAACCCTTTGGACCAATCTCATCATGATCGCTGAAACCATATCAGCAAATAAATGAAATGTACACAGGAATCATCCATGGCCGCTAAACAGATGATCGACAGATGAACTATAAATATCCCAATCAATTTACTGAGCCGATTTAATAATAATAGATATCACCATTAACCATTCAACATCTAATCATCAATGTGATCGCAAAGTTGCTTTCTAACTTATAAAAAAAACATAAATAGCCCGCATATCTTTAGCACTAACCCACCAACACTATATTCTTAACCTAAACCACTGTTGTGGAGAGAAAACTTAGATCAAACAAATAATAATAAAGTAATTTAACGTCAAAAAGCTATCAATAAAGTAATACATCTTGAAGATAATAATAAAAGATCTAATCATCAGAAAAACAAAGTAAAGACAGAAAAATAAACGGATGATTGATTTCATGACAGAAAAATTTTCTAGGCGGAGAAACTAACCAAGAGGGAGGGAGACGGCGTTTCACTTTTTTTTCCAATTGTATTCTTTCCAATGTGTGGGATAATTTGAGAGAGGAGAACTTATGGTTATATATAGGTAGTATAATTTGTGGGATAATTATGACCAATTATCCCAATTCTAATTCTAGTAGAATTCTACTTGACTAACGCACCAAAAAAATAATACAGTTCTAGTTCTTGTTTGGTAATTTTGAAGTCTTGAGGGTGTTTTTCTTATTTTTTACAACATTTAAGGATATTTTTTGCAAATTATAAAATTTCAGGGGGCTGTTGGTAATTTTTGAATATCATGTGTCATCTGTAAGGTTAGAAAATTTTAATAGTTTTTTTTATAATTTTACCTTGAGGACTTTTTATAATATTTTAAACTTTGAGGGTGTTTTTTTGCAAATCTCAAATTTTTAAGGGGTTGTTAGTCATTTTAAGTGCTTTCTATAATTTTTAACTTTTAAAAATAAATTTTGTAATTGTTGAAGAGGGTGTTTTTAAAACAATATCAATCTAAATGGACAAATGGGTGGGTAATAACCCACCCATTAATGACCCATTTATCTTTAATAGAAAATATACTCACTCATTTATGGCCCATTTAATTAAATGAGTAAGTTTGGATCGTTTATTTGACGGGTGGGTATGAGTGAGCAATTGGTTTTGGATCCATTTTGATATTCCTACGTTAGTGGCATAGTGGTTGGGGCTTGGAGTCAATATCTATAGCATGTTTATCCTAAATTTCTAATTATTAAGTATTATGACACTTGCTATTCACCTGAATCTAGACCTCAAAAATAAAGCGCAAGTCCCTAAAGTTTAATTTGAGTGATTCTAGACCAAGGTTCCTTGAAGAAAAGAAAATTCAAATGAATGTGCGGGAATCTCTACCGGTACATCTTTGCATACCACATAACAGTCCTCACAATTTTAGCTGTGTGCCGGAATTTCTACAATTAAGGATTACTGAATAACAGAAGCGCTTATTACTCAGTCAAATGGTACAATCTACTCCTTTATACAAATTAGAGAACTCAAGATTCACTATTCATGTTATAATAAATACTACAGTAACATTTACTGTAACATTATCACTGTAACAAACATGAAAGTAGACATTTTTTTTTAAAATAATTACTATAGCACACGGGACTATTGTAGCAGAAACTGGTTATCGTAGCAATTCAAATAATTTACTTTAGCAAATAAAACCGGGATTAGTGTAGCAAAAAAAATAAGTACTAGTAGTTAATAATAAAGGAAGAAAGTTAAAGCTTTTCATTTGGAAATGTAAGCCAAGTCCATCTCTAAAATGCTTTAATCTTTATCTCATCAACTGCACTATCTATGTGCCTCCGCATGTCAAAATCGCCACTATCTGAGAATCAATTTCTCCATTGACCAATAAGGCGGTCTTCACTACATTATTACCTGAATACAATAACTCAAATGGAAATAATAGGAACATATACCACCAAACGCAGGTTCCGTGCATTATGCCCCCTCGTGAACAATCATATTCTACAAGGGTATTCCCATTATACATATCTCAGTAGAAAATATACTCATCTCTAAGAAAAAGAAGACAACCAAATAAATAAAAGAAAAAAATGCAAGAAGTGAAGGGAAAAAAAAAAGCAAAGGGAGATAAAAAAATCTCCAGCAATCAGCCTGATTATTCATCATCATCCTCTTCAGAGTCACTATCTACAACCCCGAGCAAAGAGTTGAAAATTGAATGGTTCCATCCCCTTAAACTTCTCAAATGATTTAACTTCTCTCTTAAGCCAAAACGATGCCAGCTAGAAGACTCGTTAACCTCAAGAGATATGCAAGCATCTCGCTTTTTTGGGAAATATTTTAATACTGAACTCCCTGAAGCCATGTCGATATCAACATCAAACACTGGGGAAAGCGGGCGACCAACCACTTGGACATGACATACACTAACAAATGCACAACAAAAAAGTTCAGATAGAGCTAAGTTGTAGTAACAAATTATGACTAAGATGGCATTATTCAATAGATATTCCAACATAAAGCAGTAGGATTGTCGATCAGTAAGGAATATGAATATGAATACACATAACTACAACAATAATATTACAGAAAAACCAAGTCCAGAAACTCACCATACATAATACAAGTTATCCATTTCTTGTACTTGAATGCGACCCACCAGCTCAACCTGTACTATTCCACCAATGCAAATGACCGGACGTGGAAGCTTGAAGGTTTGCAACTCATTTTGCTGAAACAATGTATTTGAAGACAGTCCAATCAAAAGACACCTTTTAAAAGAAAGCAATTCAATGTTCTAAAACACTTCCTACTATGCGTTTAATCAGAAGGTAACAATGCGACTAGAGAAAATATACAATCTTTAATACATGATAGTGTGGGAGGGAGGGCAGGAGCCAAAACCATGGAGGGAGCACACCATGCGCACACGTACACACAACGTTGGAAAACCCCAATAGATCAGGGAAAAAAGATTTTAATTCATAAAAGGGGCCAAGGTCACTGATCGATAGTCAAATTATATGTTTTTTATCTTAAGCAGTGGAGCTAATTATAAACCATGCAATAAAAACTTATTTTATAAAATTTTCAAAAAGAAATGACAAAGTAACAACTCAATAAAAAAGAACACATTATGCGGCTTGTTTCTGGTAGCACATAACAGCTTCAGCTTCAGCTCTACTGGAATCTAAGAGATGAAAGTCTTTATTATGTCCTACCTCTATTAAAATGCTTTTGCCAAGATTTAGCATCATATTAACACTGCACTTCCATCACATAACTGTAAAACTAACTACTACCTCGAGCAATTAAAGTTCAAAAAGGTTTTCAACTTTCTGTACTGATTAACTTCAAGCATATAAGAGGTGTAACAAAAGGCCCAAAATTCTTGAACTGCCTGATACCAACTTTTCTCTCATAAGAGAACCCAACTGAACTTCTTGGTGAATCAGATCAACCATCAATAACTTTCATGGCCACACATGAGGCCTCGGAAGTATGTTTTAACAGGCTAGGAAAAGTGAACATTAAAGCAAGACCAACTACCAGTTCATCCTAGAAGAAGCAACAAAAGCAATTACTCCCGCTAGCGTAATTTTCTCAAAGGCCAGGCAAGCCACCATCGAATGAACTCGACAGTAAATTGTATACCTAACTGACAGTAAACTGTACAACTTCCATAATAACATGTGGAAGTTATTTTTATATCGGCACAGCCACAAGCGTGCTTGATCTTATAATTATTCCATCACAGTTGTTCAATACAAAACATAGGTCTCATCCCTTAAAATGCAGAGAGGACTAACCAATACATGTTTCCAATTTCTCTTTTATCGGGAATGTGTATACACATTTACCAATACATGTTTACAATTTCTCTTTGTCTGGAATGTGTATACACATTTTTTACATTCAAGAACAGCATACAACAACAACCACCACCACCAAGCCTTTACCCCAAATGTTTGGGATCGGCTACATGAATCCTATTTTTCCATTCCATTCTATTACGGGTCATTTCCTCCGTTATGTTAGTCTTAATCATATCATTCTTAATTACTTCTGACCAAGTCATTCTAGATTGACTTCTAGATCTCCTAACCTCATTAACTCTAATATTATCATTTTTTCCAATCGGTGCACTAAGGGATTTTTTTTGTACAAGATCAAACCATCTTAATCTATTTTCTCTCATTTTATCCTCAATACGCTCAACCTCTAATTTACTACACTCAACCTCTAATTTACTACGGAGTACGGATGCACTCATTTCTTATCTTATCTTTTAATGTATACCCACAATATCATCACAATATTTTCATTTCTGCTACACTTATTTTTTGAACATGTTATTTTTTTATTACCTAACATTCTGACCCATAAAACATAGTTGGTCTTATAACGGTCATATAGAATTTTTTTTCCTTACGTTTTATTAATATTCTACGATCACATAAAACTCCCGAAGCACTCCTCCATTTCAACCATCCCGATTTGATTCGATGCACAACATCATCCTCTATCTCACCATCATGCCTAATGATAGATCTTAAATAGCGAAAATGATTAGTTTTAGGTATTTATTGGTCATCAATATGTAACATAAACTCTCTTTCTTTCCTACTTTTACTAAAAATGCATTCCTTTTTTTTTTGTTCTACTACTACTAAAACATTTAGTCTCAAAAGTTTGTCTTCATCTTTCTACTTTAGAAATAATGTCTCTTCTAGTTTCATCAACTTATATTATATCATCAGCAAATAACATACAACACGGGATTTTATCCTGAATGTGCTTAGTAAGTTGGTCCATAACTAATGTAAAAAGATAAGAATTTAACGTCGACCATTAGTATAAACCTATGGTAATAAGAAATGGTTTAGTCACTCCTTCATTAGTGCTTATTCTCGTTGTTACTCTATCATACATATCTTTAATCACATCAATATATATACTAGATACATGTTTGTTTTCTAATACCCATCACATACCTCTCAAGATACTCTATCATAAGTTTTTTCTAGATCGATAAAAATCATATGTAGATCCTTTCTCTTCTCTCTATATCTCCATATAACCTGTCTCAAAATATGTATAGGTTCCATAGTTGACCTCCCATGCATAAAACTAAATTGATTATCAGGTATACATATCTTTTTTCTTAGTATTTGCTCAATTAGCCTCTCCTAAAGTTTCATAGTATGACTCATGAGTTTTATACCTCGATAATTTGAACAACTTTGTATATTCCCTTTCTTCTTATATATCGGTATCAAAATACTAATCCTCCACTCATCCGGCATTTTTTACATCTTAATAATCTTATTAAATAGTTTAGTTAATCATCCTAAGCCTATATCTACAAGACATTTTTAAACTTCAATAGGATATCGTCCGGTCCTACAGCTTATCTACTTTTCATTTTCTTTAGAGCATCTTTAACCTCGCTAATCCTAATTTTACGACAATATGATCAAAATCTCTATTTTGCTCACTTGTTTGGTTATCATTAAACAATTGATAAAAGTAACCCCTCCACCTCTCTTTTATTTCCCTATCAGTCACTAGAACTCTTTGATCCTCACTTTTAATACACCTAATATTACCAAAATCTCTACTCTTTCTTTCTCTAATCTTAGCAAGTATGTATATATATATATATAGAGAGAGAGATGATCTTATGTCAATTTAAGTGGACACCAAGCCTTTATCCATCAAAGTTTCTATCCACTCATTTATATATATAAAAAGACTCTTCATATCATGCAAGAATCCTTAGGCAATATGAATGGATAGAAACTTTGGTAGATCATCCACTTAAGTTGACATAAGAATTGCTCTCTCTCTCTCTATATATATATATATATAGTCATGTCCTTGTATCCTACAATTTTACAAATTTGTCGTGTCACGTACCCGTAACCACACCTATTATTTGTTACTTTTGAGTAGAGTTCTGTTACCTGTAGTGAGGTTGGTAACCTCTTCTCCATCATCGCGCCTGCCTTCCTTCACCTCTGCTCCCTTTGGGCCCATCACCGTCCCACTCCAGAGGGCCTAAAGGGAGGAGAGGCGAAGGGAGTTTGGCAGAGGCATCTTTGGCGGAGTGAAGCGACAACAGAGGAAGGCAACAACCAAGGGAAGTGGCAGCGAAGGAGAGATTACCAGCAAAGGAGAGATTACCAAGGGAAGCAACATCAGAGAAAGGCAATGATCGTGTAATTTGAATATCTTTACGGCGTTACATCATTAATCAAATTGTGTTATTTGCCACATTATCGAAAAAGAAAAGCTTTCATTTTGTGTAAGCTTATATATATATATATATATATTTCTCTCCCTCATTAGATTCTAACTTCTTATAAACATTTTCATAACCTTGTATTTATTCTCACTAACTGCTCTTTTTGCTTCCTTCCTTACTAGTTTATATTTTTCTAAGTTTTCTCTACTCCTACATTTTTGCCACTCTTTATATAAAGTTCTCTTCTCTCTAATAATCTTTTGCACACACTCATTCCACCACCAACTCTCCTTATCGTCTAATTTACAACCTTTAGATTCTCCTAGTATATCTTTAGCCACCTTCTTAATACAAGAAGACATGCTCTTCCACATAATATTAGTCTCATTATCTATGTTCCATATTTCTTTCATTATCTTATCTCTATAATGTATTAAATTTTCTCCTTTCAAATTCCACCATTTAGTTCTTAGTCATCTGTTCACATTAGTTTTTCTACTCCACTTTTTAATAGATATGTCTAAGACCACCAATCTATGTTGTGTACTTAAACTCTCACATCCAAGGACAGCCTCTATGAGCAAGTACCACTTCATACAAATGATTTGACAATATTGTTAGCGACCAACACATGATTTGAATGGTTTTTCCATTCTGGAAAGAAGTTCAAAATTTTATAAAATGGTTTAATTCTCCTGCCTCGGAAGTACTTTAGTGGTGACCTGAAGAAAAGTCCAGTGCATACTTTGAAATTAAAGAAAAAAGGTCTTTACTATAAACCCAGCCCTGTCATTGCTTTTTAAAAAAAAAGGTCAACAGGAGGCAATCAATAATCAGGCTAAGTTTAAGTTTGTATTGTCAGATAACAGATCCAATTGTTTTAAGTCATTCCTTAAGCACACATACAAGCAACGGAAGCCAAAACTGCAATCTTGATGATCTTTTGATGATCTATCTTAGGAAATGCAATCAACCAGTATCAAACAATAAACCAGGCTATAACCTTACCACTGACGAACTGGTCGAGCTCTTTTGCTTAGCAGCAAACATCGTGCAAGTATGAGAGGAATCAGTTAATTTTTCAAAAGTATAAGATCTCTCCTTTAACACTAATTAGAACTTCAAAGTTTTGATGCCGTGGAAGGGTACATAAGATGGTATTGGATTCACCAAGGTTGAGATGCAACTGGATGATGTTAAAAGTAGATTAAAAAGTAACCCATGCAGAAGCTTAGATTTTTGGTCCATAGAAAAGATGAGTATAAGTATGGCTCAAGTCCAGTGCATATTTTGAAATTAAAAAAAACGTCTTTACTATAAACCCAAGCTTGTCGTTGCTTTAAAAAAAAGGTCAACAGGAGGCAATCAATAATCAGGCTAAGTCTAAGTTTGTATTGTCAGATAACAGATCCAATTGCTTTCAGTCATTCATTAAGCACACATACAAGCAACGGAAGCCAAAACTGCATACTGCACAACTCGACCCAGGTAGCTGTCTGCTACTTGGATATTTCAACTGGCAATTTTAATGATCTATCTTAGGAAATGCAATCAACCAGTATCAAACAATAAACCAGGCCATAACCTTACCATGGACGAACTGGTCAAGCTCTTTTGCTTAGCAGCGAACATCATGCAAGTATAAGAGGAATCAGTTAATTTTTCAAAAGTACAAGATCTCTCCTTCAACATTCACTAGAACTTCAAAATTTTGATGCCGTGGAAGTGTACATAAGATGGTATTGGATCCATCAAGGTTCAGATGCAACTGGATGATGTTAAAAGCAGATTAAAAAGTAACCCATGCAGAAGCTTAGATTTTGGTCCATAGAAAAGATAGGTGAGTTAAGTATGCCTCAAAAAGTCAACCTCAGCAAAATATTAAGACTGCAGTAGAAGGGATGTTTAGAGCTTCCAGTCAGGAGCTTATTACAGGAGGATGCTAATAGGAAGTCAGCATTCAAGAAATAAACTAGCACAACAATTCGATACCTGTGCCATCGGAAATTCTGGCGAGACATAAGTCCACATGAACTTCTCATCAGTGCACTCAACAGAATCCTCCCCCTTTTTCTGGGATGATAAGGAATGACCCATACGAAATCTAACAGCTTTTGATGAATATATCGGACTGCCATACTGAAAGTATGCTGGGAAGAAGAAAGGAATATCTCAGAAAAATGATTAAAACATATCCATGTAAGTATGCTAATTGTATAACATACTGACCTTCAAAAGGTCGTATATTTATTTCATTAATGATGCATAACTTGGAGCCTAGTCTATAGGTTAAAGTCTCTGGCACTCCAGGATCACTTTCTCCTTGACTTGACCAATAAGATGGTCGCATATGAACTCGATCAGCCTCTATCAGCGTATTCTCTATACTCTCATCCGGAAAGTTGTCAGTGCTGGAAGCACGAATCGCCTCAGCAATGCATTCACCAGTTCCTATAGTCAAGACAAAACAATGACTTAAATAGGAATATGCCCTGTGTTCTCTCTCCAGGCTCTCCCATTCCCCAGCACTGCTAGAACCAACTTCTACGGTCTCTTCTGTACTGCTTCCTTCCATGACACGGGCAAAATATGATACTTCCGCGCATGTTCGTAAGCATAGTTTCTTGCTGAAACTATTTGCAATAACTGCAATAGAATCCAAAACACCTTCAGGATCATACTTGAGATGGAAAACACTAAATAGGAAAACACTAAATAGCATTGCCCATGAAATAAAGTTAGCATCTTGCATAGAAGAATTTATTCAGAATAACAACCAAATTAGGGTCTTACACCAACTATTTCAGAATTCTTTCAACCATTCTAAATGAACAAGGTTTCAATCAGAGCAGGTGGAGTAGAATTGTAATTACAACACATACACAAACTGAAAAACCTAGCCCAAATAGATCAAATGGTGAATAAGCACTAAAAAACCAACAGCTCAGTACCGACAAGCTAAACCAGTGACAACTTTGGAAGAATTTGACAAGAAAGCCTGAAAGAAATCGCAGATACATTCTTAATACATACAGAGCGAGCTACAGTCAAAGAATGTTCACTACTACTGAAGAGATGGGACGATGACAACCAAGACAAGTGTATATGAAAACCAACCACAAAATTAAATAAATAAAAACCACTAGATAGTGATTAAATTGAGGGGAGTATCTTTGCATTTACAATATACAAGGAAATACAACTGAAAGGCTTACAGTGTATATGCTTTAGAAAGTATCTACCCTAAAGTGATCAACATGCTAAACAAAAAACACATTAAGTTGATTACAACCTATTTGTATGTCAATGGACAAAGTTAGCGGATGACATAAGAATAGAACAAAACAGATTAATGCTGTCACTAACTTGAAACTCTCAAACATGCAAAAAAAAAGGGCACATGATTCACACTTCATCTCACATTAGAACAGGATAAGAAAAGCTAAAATGAATAGAAGATAGCCCATTTATATATGTGAATATTTTCCTGTACATGTCATCAAACAAATAAGATCTATCGAGAATGTATTGACTTTATTTGTATCCATCTCCATTGGTAGACATGGCTGATCATAATGTCCAAACCCAATCCTCTCATAATATAATGTCTCTCAAGGCATGGTGAATTATTTTTCATCAAATCAAAGTTATGACATTAAATTCACTGTATAAGAATTTTTCCCACAAATACTATAAAGAACGGTAAGAAGGTAGAGCAACTAAGCTCATTAACACCACTCAACATTAACCGACTTTTAAGTTGGTGTCAACTTCCGTCCTAGTTGTCATAATGCCAAGAAGGGCCAGGTGAGCAGGGAATCCAGAATTAATACGCATGCGTAGTAAAATTGTGCAACCATCAATAGCTTCAAGAGCCTTAATTAGGAACTACTATTTTCTTTCCCGATGTGAAAGGCTTAGTTGAGATTTCTAATGCATTAATATTGGACAACCCTCAGATTCTTTATGATTATCAATCACATTGGCCTCATCGGTACACATACTGACATACAAGAAGAATGTTTTTAACTCATGTGAAGAAGAACATGAAGATGATACTCCCTTACCATCTGAGAGAGTGATACCCCCTTACCATCAGAGAGATTAGGGAAACCCTTACGTGTATAAATGTGAGATCTAGAAGTTATCATGGTATCCATGAAAAATGGAACCACTTGCTAGCACCTATTTGGAAGCATTTCATCACAAGGAAAGAAATAAAACAAAAAAAGAAAACAGGAGAATCAACATGAATTAGTGTAGTTAGGAAAATTCGGCGACAATAAAAACCATATGGTTGAACGTTTCCAGCTTTGGTATTCAATGATAAACCATTGCCACTGCATTAACTGTTTCTAGGGTTGGTATTCAATGATAAACCATTGCCACTGCAATGTGATATTCCAGCATTAAATGGAAAAATACAAGGACTCATATTAACATAACCCTTCTTTCCAAAGAACATTCTTGAGGCATTGCAAGTCATAGAATATGTCCTGACTAGAACTGGCTGTGTAAATAAATGAAAGGTTTATGGATATAGCAAGGAGTTTTCTCCAGAATGATGTGTTCTGTTTTGCTCTTTTGCTATATGTATGCATCGGGCTAGACCTAATCCCCTGATAAAAAACATATTAACCTTTCCCCTCTTTTAGACATTTTTTGTAGGAGAATTGTGAAGGTTTGCTCCATCATAGAGTGAGCTTACACTATGCCTCTACATGACCACAAAAACTGACCAAGGGTGTCCTACCACCAATTGACCTTTTATCTAGTACAAGCTAGGGTTTATCAAACGTCCCCATCTTTTCCCTAGGATTTTAGCCTAATTTCTAAAAAATGTTAAGGTTTATCAAAAGTCCCTACCTTATCCCTAGGGTTTAAGCCTAATTTGTAAAAAACGGGAGGGTTAATGATTGGTCAATATTTCATGGAGCTTTGCGCTTCATAGGTGATGTAGGCTCTAACCTTTTAGGGATAGACCCCCCTACATCGATGTACTTTAGGCATGTTACTTTTAACAGTGCTCATAAGTTGAAGGGCATGACCAACTATCAAACACTGATGATCTATGCATTGATGATTAAGTTCAAGTTCCAAATTAGAGGGTGGGATTAGATCCTACAAGATATGGATAAGGTAATTATTGTAAGGTATTATTATCGTAAGGCATTATTTATTGTAAGCTAAAGAATCACTACCATATTATAGGCACGTGAGTAGGTGGATCAACATGTGAATGGAAGTCAAATATTGGGAGTTAGGCTGCCCTCAAACCTGACTCCCTCCAAAGGTAGTCATTTGACTGAACATAAATTGAGGCTAAACAAAAAAGATCTGATGAGAATTACAAAAATGAAAGTTTTTGGGCAGCTTAAATAAAAATATATAGATCTCAATTTTACAAAGACGTGAATACAAATGAAAGTAACACTGATCTGATCCTTATTTAGTATAAATGTCAATTATATAAAAAACAATAATGTTAATCGAATGCAAATCAATGTTTCACTGCAACTCTGGGCTTACAACTAGTAATAGACCTGAAGCAACCATCCTTACAAAAAAATATGTGATAGCAAATATTTGTATTGTTTGAATTCATCCACTTACAAAAGCGATATTAGATTTTTTTTTATGTCATCCTTCAACTTGAAAGTCACTCCAAAAGTTCAAAATTGGCAACGATTTCATGTACTTTAACCCATTGACACATTTGAAACAAGCTTGCAAGTTGCAACTGCGTGGTCTTAGATCATCCTCCAATCTTAGTTTGAACTTCCATCCAAAACTTCAAAATTTATGTCTTGCGACCATTGTTTTAAATATCCCCGACATGGCCCGATATATCCCCCGATATATCCTTTTACAGGGCTTGTCGCAATCGATATGGTCTTTAAATATCCTTTACCGTTTTTTGGCTATTTTGAGTGATAAATCCCCGATATGGCCGATATATTGGCTGATATATTAGCCGATATGTGAACCAATATATCTTTTTATATAGCTTGTTGCAAAATAATATACCTTGTTTGGAATTTTTGGGCAAGATATCAAGCTTTCCCCATTATATCAAATGACATTTTGCCCTAAAAAAAGCAGATCGAATGTTGCAACGTTGCTTTACACTTTTGTTTGTTTTAGAAGGTTGATAGTGATCCTAAACATATATTATTCATATTTTGTATGCTTAAATTTATTACATATGTTGAGATTATATTTTAATGCATTATACTATATATGCAAACATTCATTATGGCATTCCGATATTTACCACATATCCCCGATATTTTTCCGATATCCGCAATCCGATATGAATTTTGGCCATCCGATATGTCCCCGATATCCGATATTTAAAACCTTGCTTGCGACTATTAGTGATTCATTTGAATGGACACATCATCACATTTGAAACAACTTTGTAAGTGTATAATACCTAGGATTTCTAGTTGCTTACTGGAAGTGATCCCCTTTCGCAACTAGAGTGAACTGCAGCAAAGCAAATAGCTACAACTGAACTCTTTCATTTGAGCAGCTGCAGGCCCAATTGCAGTTAATAAACAAGCCCATTATTTAAAATGAGCACGCTCGCCCATGTTGCGACTGCTTAAACTGCACTAAGGCCGCTTACATAAGTGCTCGAAGCATCTAAGCAAGATGGGCCGCTTATAGAAGGACGACATCGCATCAAGAACGGGTACGCTACCTGCTTAAGCATAGTAAAGGGTAAAGAGAACAAAACGGATCAAAATGGATCGGACCAGAACTTAATATCCAAATCTATCCTAGATAAAACAGTAATGATATGATTGTGATCTTCGAAAAAAAATATTTATTCTCTTGATGGCTCCCTCTAGCCGCTCTCTTTGCTACATAGTGGTAAATCTCTCACCTTTAATTACAGTAGAAGCAATCCGGCCTTGATATCTAAAGTTCTTAAAAACGTCTATCTGCCGCTTAAGCGCTAGCCCACGCGACTAAGCTTTGAGCACAAGGTGTGGTGCCCAAAAGAGCACAAGTTTTTCAAAAACATTGAACAAGCCTAATTATTTACCAGCAATACAGGAGGTCTTTCCTTTATGTTGCCATATTTTGCATTACAAAAACAGTGAAAGATAACTACATAAGTGGTAGTTCATGTCATGTGGGGCCAACATTTTTTCCTCTTTGTTATTTTTTATTTGAGGGCAACACATAAGAGAAATACACGTGCTTTTAACATGATAACAATGTAGATCAATACTTTCAAATTTATAGGGGAGGTTAAAAGGCTTAAGATGTTTCTATAGTGCATGAGGAAAAGAAGAAAACTGTCTGTGACAATGCAAAAGTAAAATGTTCTAAAATATTAATTTACTATGACGATATAGATCCTATTATAAAATAGTACAAGGGAAGTTTATTTTTTCCTAGGCTACCTTCTTAACAATATGATTATATAAAGCACAACCCTGAAAAGGAAAAAAATGTATTCTATACTCCAAAACTTCATACTTATAGATTGTATAATGCAATGTTTAATAGATATTTATTTATTTCTAACTAACAAACAAGTATGACAGTCAAACAACAAAATGCAAAATTTGGGTTAAATACATTAGTAAAAATAGTAAAGCCAAAGGAACAACATGCATAAACTGTTAGTT